TACAGGACGAGGTGGTTAGAGCGCGAATTTACTGGCCGGAAGATTCGTTGTTCGAAACCGACCTCTGCTTCTAAATTTCCCTGTCTAGGCTTGAGCAACCTGGCAGTATCCCAACCCTCGTGCTTGCTTAGGGAGGCATGGTAGATAGGCACCAAAAGGGTGCTACAGTTGAACGATTTTTAAGGGGCCATCATAAAGTGAGAATTTGATAGAGAATAGTCGCAAAGGAGTTTCACGATAGGGTCAAAAGTAAATATGAATGGCAAGCACCGATGCACGGATGCACCAGTAGGATGAATTAGATAGGTCGAAGGTAGGTCTACGGTCCAACATTCTGGAACAATCAAATTAGGAAGACCTATGAGCAAGAACATCAATGGGAACGTGGGCGGTGAGTTCTACCTAGTGTTCATGGATTTACGCATTTCTCACTTGGGTCGGGTTTCGCACAATACATGTGAGCAGTTAAATCGAACAAAGTACACAAAACCCACCTGTAGCTTTACAACAGATTCCAATGTGGGGAACACTTTGGCCATCTTTCGCAACACATCCGGTGCAATTCGCGGAACACGATGGCTGTATTCACCCAACAACCATAGGATGGAGGCCAATGCCGAAGGCACAGTCATGGTGTCCGTGAGCTCGGCTATGCGGATAATTAGATCTTTGTGGTCAGCATTCTGTATGTGAGCAAGAGAGACGAAACACAGAAAATCGATGGAACTGAGTTCACGTCTGGAACCGAGCACCAGGAATGATGCATAGTGTGACTGCAAATTGATGGAGAGTCTAAAAGACTTTTGGACTACGAAACACCATGCAGGGGGGATGATTGCAACCCATTCGTTGCCGCGGAGTGCATGCGACGAAACCCGAGTTCAAAAGTGCAATGAGACTCAAACAAATTGTGACTTGTGGAGATTCGATAGTTAGTCTACCAGTCCTCAACACAGAAGGAAAGTTAGATGGCGAAGTGACGTGTAAGAACTCGGATCAAGGCACATCAAACAGGGCATACTGTGGGGGGGGGGGCGCGCGAAGTCCTGCAGCTTTGTTATATCAATTACCCTCTCGACCCATACACCAACAATGAGGTGACGACAGCACGGTTGTAAAATCCAAGGAGAATCGACTGAAGAGTCAAGTTTAAGTCGTACCTGTCGTTCGAACTTTGCTCATTCTAATGAGCGGGAGGAGGGTGTTTCAAAAATTTAGAAAAAGGGGACGAAGAAACAAACTGAACGGATATCTTGACCAGGCGATATACAAACAGACTGTAAAGAAGTTCCTTGCTTGCTAC